CACCTTCTTCTTCTTCATCAGTGTGACTTAGGCTTGCGCCGCTGCTTTGACTGCCCCGTTCGTGACTTCGGCTGCGACTTCGACTCGAAGCCCTGAATGCACCGGTTCCCCTTTTACGTTTCCTGGTCCTTCGAGCAAGAGATTGAGCTTTTAGTCTCTCTAGGGCCTGCACCAAATCCTCGGCTAACGGAGATTCATTGGGAGGATCCTCTCGAACGGCCACCCACCCAACGGGTGGGGACCCGGGAGGAGAAATGAGAAAGTTGCGTTCGGGTACGGGTGGTCGGAGATGAAAAGGCGATTCCTTGATCTCTCCTTCGTCAAAGTTGGATGAGAACACTGGGAATCCACCAAAATACCAAGCACCTTCTTCGGCTGTGAAAGATGATTAGAATTTGATATTTACGACTGTAATAATAGGAGTTACCATCATCGCTAATGGCCGGGTGGGTTTTCCTGGTACCACCGGAAAACCATCCTTCCTCCACTAGTACCGTCTCCGGAGCTCGAAACGCGCGAAGAGTGATCGCTGGACATTTGGGAGTTTCTGGAATGTACAAACGATCTGAAGCGATTCTAGCGCGTTCTGCATCTTCGGCGGAGTAGTAGACGACAATCGCCCGTCTGAACGACTTGAGAGGCACGAACGAGTAGAGGTCCCCCTCTGGTAATTCGTCTTCCGCATCCATCATCTCCTCGTCCTTGGGAGAACCGTCTTCTCTGTCCATACTGGGTTCGCCTTTGATGGATGCGCCAGGCCCGGGAACGCTGACAGGACTATAAGGACTCCGTCGGTGAAGAAAAGTTGTGCTAAAACTAGCAAAGTGGCTTTTGAGAGCATCGAGAATTTTTGGCTCGAAGAATGGGAGAGGAAGCGGGGTGATGATTAATGTGTTTGTGGGTTCCGGAATTGATGGCTTTCTAGACATCGAGTCTATGCATAAACGTGAGATTAGATCAAGAGGCACGAGAGCGATACAAGCGCATCCTGTCCTCTGAGAGCACAGGATGCGTTGTCATGGGCCAAGCAGAGAAAATGCCTACTTTTCCGGGATGAGCTGCTGGAAGCAGAGTCTGTTGATGAAGTCCGTTCAGGAGTTTCACGCTCAATCGAGATTTCTATGGAAATCGGAGCGTTGTTGGTCGAGTCTTGGCTTGTTCCATTTGGAGGTGGTGTCGGTGGGCGGCTAAGGGTCATGCTGATGATGTTGGT